ATTTTTGTATATATTAATTTTATAATTTTATCTATAAAATTAAATTTGCATGTTTAAGCATATATATAAATTATTTAAAAAATAAATAATTCTACAGTAAATTATTGCTAAAATAGTACATAATTCAGTGAACTATCGCTGTCTAATATAAGTTTGAATAATTCGTTTAGTAGTGGCACCAAACCAGCTTATTTATTTTTAATGCATGAAGTAAACACATAATTTTTTTTTTATTCCTCCTGGATGTAATTATGTAATTTCCTTCCAAGGTTAGATTTTGATTCATCTTTTTATCCTCGCTTGGATCGTCAAGCAAATATGATGCATAGTGTTGTAAATGAAACAAATACAAGTATGCACATGAAAGCTTTAGCATTAAAATATTTGAGCGACGAACAACTGGCTGATATAGCACTGCATAAAGAAGAGTCATCTTCATTAAAGCATCTCATGGTCAGCAATATGCAAGGCACCAATATGTCGCTAGCTACAATGCGTTATTTAGAAAGATATAAAATTCTGCCAGGAAAAAATAACATGCAAGTAGAAAGTGAGTACTAAGGAATTAAATTAAGACAAATACTATAACTTAAACATATAAATAAATACATATAACAATGTTGTATAATACTATATATTATAAATTTTATAGTAATGCTAATCTATACTTCTCTTGTATAATTATCATCAATATTGTTTAATATGTAAAATATTGATTTTTTTTGTGTGCATGCATGTTATAAATATATATATTTATTTATTTTCTAGATACTGATCAGACATATGGCGAAATGGCGTCTAAACACGATTTTAAACCGACGACTGGAAAAAATAATCCTACGCTACGCCAATTCCCTTTTGTACAAACACCTGGTACCACTTGTCCTAGCAGAATATTAGATCTTTCTACTTTAAAAAGACAACCGAAATTATTATAAATTTAAAATTAACATATATCAGCATGTGAGCAATATATTTATTATATAAACGATATACTTTCATAAAAATTTTATAGTTGTGTAAGACGAAGAAAGAGAAATAAAAGCCGGGTAGCATTTTATATTTTATTACTAAAATGGTTTTTTTTTTAGCCTAGACTGAAACCTTGTTTAGCAGAGATTCAAACCCTATTTGGGGAAGATCTATCGCAAAAATTTAAACTCCATTTGGTGAAGTTTTTTATTATAATTATTATATTTTTCTATACTTTAACAGTTAAAATGTTCCTTTGATTTCTAAAAAGCTTTAGTTATTAGCAACATTAATTATTTTTTCATTTTTATATGATCGCATGATGATAAAGATACTGTCACCTGACAGGTTTTCGTAAAATGTCATACAAAAAATAGCGATTTTCTTTGCAATATTGGTTTTATAGAATATAAAAAAGTACTTTGCGGGTATTGTACGGGATTTTACCCAGAATTCTAAAAAACCGGAATAAATCAAAATTATTTTTAAACAGGCATAATATAAAAGTTTTATTTTCTATGGTAATATGACACATATATATTCGTGAAATACTATACTTATATAAAGAAATAAGCTTCTCGCATATAAGAGACTTCAAAACTCTTTGACGATACGTTATCTCGCTTGCTCTTTATATTCATTCTCGCTTTCGCCTTTTGCTTTCGATAACATCGGAGATATTTACTTATCTATAATAATTTACCTATAATATTCAAAAATCTTATGTAATAAAAATGAAAATATTTATGTTTTATTTTAAAAAGTAATTTTTTGAAAATAATTTTAATGGATTAATAAGATTTTTCCGATTAAAATGACATCAAATACGATATAATTCGAATAATTTTTACTTAGATAAGACAGAAGGAAAAAAATTTTTTATCTAATTTTTAAATTTGTGTTTAATTAAAATTTATCCGAATAATGTCACGTTCTTTTTGTCATTTTATTTGCAAAAATTTTATTAATCAAATAAAATTACAAAAATATTAGAAATATAAAAATTTTATAAAAGTTTTTATATATTTAATAAATACGGTCCATATTTGACACTATTTTCAGTCCGAAGTGTTTAATGGATAAATAAAAAGGGCGAAGAATCTTATTTTTCGAACGAAAATAGCTTTAAGCGAAGCGTATTTATTGTCATGTGTTTATTTTCAAAAGACTCGTAGTATTAATTATCTTATTTTTCTAATTACTTTTATGTTTATATAAATTTGTATATAATCGTATTTAATATGTTCATCATCGGTGCGCACTAATGCATCCAACTAAATTTATAAATTTAAAAATTAATTTAATAATATAATTAATAATAAATTAATAAATTATAAAAAAAGTTATAAATTAAAAGCATAACTTGATATTGCTTAAAATGCTTGATAATTTTGTTTTAAGAATAAGAAAAAAGTGAAAGCAATATATTGTAAATATCTTCTACACGTTATATTTAAAAATTAGGAAAAAAATTATTAAGAAAATTGATCGAAGAAAATTTATTTTTTATTTCATATGCGTGTATATATGTACATAAAAATATTTTAATAATAACTTATTATCGCTGGCTGTAGTATATATTAGAATGACAAAACATCACGCGCAACTAATAAACATTAATAAATTTATATAATATTTTTTCGCATTTTTGATCCACAATTATGGATTTAGCACGGACACGCACCAATCGGCCGTTTTACCGTGGCACGGAAAAGTGAATCTGGCCATGTAATTCCGCCGGCTCTAAAATGGATCCAGTTGGCGCTAATGCATTAGCTAAAAAAAGCGTCTTTCGAAAAACGGCGGCGTGGCTCCTCTCAGGTTTCTATCTGTTGTAGAGGTTATCTGTCACTGTATAAACTTTTGGAAATAATAAAGCGATAATCTCGCACAACGTCAAGGTAATTATATCTAGTATATATAAATTTACACGTTTTATAAAAGTGTATTATTTGATGTAAAATGTTGAAATATATTATTATGACGATATCAAATCTCTGGTTTAAACGTCATCGAACTATATGCTTTTCCAGATGATCACGGACGTACAATTAGCCGTATTCTGCAACATCCTGGGAGTTGCGCTATTTTTCTTAGTATTTCTCTTCCACTACATAAATGCCAATTATTCGAAATAAGTGGAAAGAAACAGAGAATTGTCATTCAAGGCTTACTTAATGTAACATAACCTATGTTATTGGATTGACAACATGTATGTTTCTTCCATGTTAATCATAATGTTCAATAAACATGTTATTTTACCACTTTAAAATATTAGGACATTACGTATCATACACATATGATAGATACAAAATTGTGCAATCTTTTTTCATATATTTGAACTTCTAGAAAATAAATTCTATGTTTTCCTTTATTTTATCGTATTTTCCCTTTCATGTGAATTTTACTTTTAAAATAGGCAAAAAGAGATAAAAAATATTCATCAAAAACAATGTTATGCGAATATAGTCAATTTTTTCAGAGGTTTCCGTTCAACGAATATATATTAGATCTTGTAAACAACAATGTACATTCATCAATCAGTTTTAATTATTACTTCACAATATACTTTGAATACATTTTTCATGTCATTAAATTATCATATTTCAGGTTGAATGCATAAAGAGAATTGAAGTACAGTTGCAGGCTTTTGCTTAGCATGTAATACGCGCGCGATCCAAACTTTAAATAATTTACCATACTTGATGCGGAGAAAAATTTTGTACATCTCTTCTTGTGTATGGAAATATAGATTTTCTAATTTATTAAATTAAAAATGCTACATTAATTATACAAGTTAAACTTGTACATTTTTTTTTTCCTAAAAATGACGAACAACAATACAATATATGTAGAAGAGGAGAGGAAAAGTGGGAGTAAATCCCACCTTTTATTAACATACAAGGTGTAGTCGTAAGTCGTGGTAGGGGACTGTCGTAATACGCGTTAAAACAACACTCGAGCTTCTTCAAATGTGGATTCATTTGTGTCACGTTCGTAAGCTTCGCGGGCACTTTAGTTTCGCATTAATCGCGGGGAATGTCATTTAGCTTGAATATGTGCCATTTATATATTGAAATGTAACACGACTTTATCATTAAATGTGCATGTTTTAAAGATTAAGCATATATTTTGGATGCAATCTTGTGAAATAATAATATACCCTATAAAAGTGCTTATTTCACATATTTATGTTTATTTTTGAATGTGAATTTATTCGATCTAATAAGTTATGCAGCTTGTCTGTAATCAATTGAAAATGAAGAAAATAATAAGCGAAGTGAAGAAATAGAGAGTATAAATTACTATCTTTATCTCATAAATCCAAGTATTTTTCATTCAGTGAATCTTGAATGGATAATGCGTACATCTTCTATCAGAGTTGACGGAATGTTGTTGATGCTATTGTTATCTTTTTGTGCAATTACTATTCATGGGTTCATTTTCCAACAAGCTCTGAATATTGCTGGATGCTTAGTAGCATGTAGAAATGTAAGTCAAATTAATTTTTTTATTGTTTCTTCATATAATATCGATGTATATATGATTTATTTTATTTCAGTGTAATATTTTTGCTATGTAAATATATTATATCAGAGATATTGAATTTATCAAAATATTTAATTAATTTTTTTTAAATATTTATTTAACTTATCTTATTTATCTAAAAATATTTATACTAGACTAAAAAATAAGATAAATCATATACACATAGATGTGATATTCTATTTTACATATTTCAATAATTTATACATGCAATTTGTCTATGAGTGATCTGTAATTCATTCATAAAAATTTGCAATACAAAATTAGCTTGGAAAATGGTATCGGTGCAAGTGCGACATATTGTACGTAATTTTATATCGGAAAAATGATAGCGTGTTACGAGAGTAAAAATTCATCGTGATAACAAACATAAAATTCAATGTATGTCGCAACGATATCAAGATGCTTATATATATGAAATGGCGAAGTTTGTATTCAATAAATAAGCTCTGCCGAGAGAAATACTGCTGGTTTAACTATTATCTCTTAAACTCATTGTAAAAATATACTTTGATACAATCGAGTATACGCGTTTTTTTAAAGAATATCTAAACTTTCGAGAGATTCCTTTGCTAGGAATTTACCTATATCGAGCCTCTGTGACTATGTATATATTCTTACAGACACGAAATAAACATATGTTCAACAATACTGTACACATTTTAGATCTTCGTTTTGACACTTGTGTCAATATAACTGAAAAGCTGAAAAGTAGTTACACGATCGTACTCGACTCGATAAAAGCGATATTGCATTACTCGGTTGTTTTTAATATTTAGATTTTAAAAAAATGATTTTCACACATTTAATGTCATTGTGATAATATATAATGATTTTATATTTGCCTACAGTATTTCGCGATCGCATATAAACATACAAATAGTAATATTATATAAAGTATAAGAATTTGCGGTCTTTTAAGAAATATACTAAACAATGTAATAGTTTCAAGTTAAACACATTGCATCGTAAATATATATTGAACTATATTGAAAGAGAAAAGTACTAAAGCGACAGACAGTAGACTGCATAATGTATGAAGTTGCTTTAAACATGTTTATCTCCTTTTTCGCGTTTCCTTTGCACTTGTGGAAAGTCATGCTTGTGCGAGCTAAATTAAAACTGAAGACAATCTAAAAAATCAAAAAGTGTCTTTTTCTTTGTACAATTTTTTATGATAAAAATTAGTGACGTAAATTATAAGTCAATATTTCAACGAAA